GAGGACACGAACATCCGATCCTTCATCATTGGTGCTTTCTTTGAGAGTGATTGATTGGTTGTTCGTGAACTTTTCCTATCTTATTCTTTTTTTGGGTCCGATTTTTTTAGTCTTGTGTTCGAAATTTTTTTTAAAATTTCGATCGTATTAAAAAAAAAAAGTGTCATCTAGTCCTTTTGTTTGATTTTTTCGGTTATTACCTTTTTGTTGAAGGGGCCGAATTTCTTTTGTTTTTCTTTTCTTTTTGGTTCGACTTTGTCGAATTTTTATAGAGTCAAAAAAAAAAAAAAAAAATGTCTTATGTGCCAATGGACGAGATGGATTGGGAAGATCTCGAATTGTTGGAGAGTTTGGAGAGAGAACTTACCCCATGGGAGACAACATATTTAGATGAGCTCCATGAACGAAGAAACCGAGAAGAATACGAGCGACAACTCGTAGAAGGGCAAGGAGCAATGATGGGTGAAGTTCTAAACCGTGAAGATGATGGTGCGCTTAACTTTCTAATCCTTGAGGACAAGGAAATTCTTGAAGAGGAGGGGAATGATACGGAAGTGGTCATCAACCCCGGCGAGTCCGACAAGGAGAAGGACGATGGGCTCGATATTTGGTTGGAGAACATGTTCGAGGGGCCATCTAGTCCAATTTATCGACCATCATGCAAGAGGGATCGGCCGGAAGGATGTGGTCCACGGGCTAAATTGAAGATCAAGAAGCGCAAGACCAAACGAGCACAAAGGAAACGCAAGGCGAAGACTAAGGAATCATGTTGTTGGTGTAAGCCTTGTACAAAGAAGAGACGAGCCCGAAGAAAGGGGGCTAGAAGGCGTGGATTGCGATGGGTTGACAAAGGATGGTGGATACCGGCCGAGGGTTGTGCTAAGTTGGATGGTTGGGACCCATGGCCCGAACCAACTGTGGCGATCGCCGACGAGAGGGGCGACGGCGATCGGCTCATGGGCGAGTGGCGCGCATCGGCCCATGATGCACGCGGATGGACGGAGCGAGATGATGAACGGGGGTGCACGACCGACGGTGGAGCCGAAGGGTCGAGCGATAGGCGGATGGGGTCGGAGGTCGATTGGGACGCGTTGGCGTTCGGGGGTGTAACGCCAGGGTGCGGATGGCACGCGGGTGAGCAGTCCGTGGACGGGGGAGTGGCGTGCGACGCAGCAGGCGCACGGGGATGCGCAAGAGACGATCGAGGCCCGCGGGCGAGGGAGACGACGCGTAGAGCAGCGGACGCGGTAGGATGCGCCGTAGGTGATTGGGGCGCGGACGGTGGCCGGGACGCGCGGGGCCTGGGCAGCGAGGACGCGGAAAGCGTTGGGCGCGCAAGTGGGGACGACGCGGGCAACGTACTAGGCCGAGTAGGCGTAGGAGTGAAGGGCGACTGCACGCACGCGCACGAAATGTTCGGCGGCAGCAAGGCGCGCACGAAGGCGCGCGATTGGAAACCGGACGACCCATGCCGTGCGGGACTAGGAGTAGCGGGGGCGGAGGATGACGCGTGAGAGACGCGCGCGCGCGAAGCCGCGCGCGACGAGGAATAGGCGATGCGGAAGGCGGTGCGCGTACGAGGCGGCCGACTAC